CCTAGTCAGCGATAAAATAGCTGTTTTTCTGTATTTTTTTAAAAGCTTCAGAAATGGATTTTAGGATGCTCAGCATATGTTCAACATTTCTCTTAAGCCCAATGTTGAAGATTTTGGCTGTGACAGTGCCATCTATTTTCTGTCAATTTTGTTCACAAACTGTCATCAGAATAGGCCAGTTTTTGATATACTGCTCAAAACAGTCCACTACAGAATTCCATCTAACATCTTGTGAGATCTCTCGTTACCTTGGTTCCACCAATTCTTTTCAGAGCTGCTGCAGCAAAATGATTGTTACGGAAGTATTTAGCAATTAATCTTAATTCTGGAACACTGAAGTCTTTGGCTAGAAGGTGCAGCAAATGAGCACTGCAGCCATGTGTTATTAACTTTGTATTCCCTTCCTGCTCTTCTAAATTTCTTCTCATCTTGGATACATTTGCAGCATTGTCTGTGCATACTAGACATTTTAATTTTGTTCACATATTATTTATAGCCTTTGCTGCCACTTCTTGTAAGTATTCTGCTATGTGTGCATTTCCTGATGTTATCAATTGTTTCTGCAAGGAATATATTCCCTTCTTCTGTTGTTATATAAGCACATATAACAGAATAATTGTGGACATTAACAATTTTACCCTCTAAAGCTGTTGCAGATTGCTCAATTTCTCTGTCATACACTCCATCCAGCAGTTTCCCTGCAACATCTGCTCTGCTGGGTGGACTGTATCCTGGTCTCAGTGACTGAACCATATTAATGAAGTGTGGGGTTTCAATCAGATGGAAAGAAGAGTTTGTTGCATAAATAAGCTTGGCAATTTTTTCATCAATTTACTCTTTTTCTAATGTGGTTTTTATCACAAATTTATCTGTGGTGGTTCCTGTATGGTCAGCTTTTTTCGTTCTTTTAGGTGATATACTGTGGATGTGTGATGTATATAATGTGACTGAAACACTATCCAGGACAGATAACTCTGAAAATGTAGAACAGGAGAATGGTGATCTTGAAGGTGGATAGTTTCCAGAATCCTTTATGTTGTTCATGGATTCTCCTAAACAAAAAAAGTCAGTGCTATTGTTTTATTATTTATTCAATTTCTGCTTATTTAGTATTATGCGTTGTATTCACTGCCATTCAGTACTGCCCCAAAATGGAATATTTGCTTGTTTCAGCTCTTTATTTCTTCATAACAACTGTATCAAAAAGACAATAACATGCAGTAATAAGAATAACAAATATAATTTCTCTGAAACATGAAAGTTCCTCAAGGCAGTCTTTAAGAAATATGATGAAATCAAAACGTTTACCAACCTGAAGATCCTGCCTGTTCAAACATGTTCCTTTTCTCGTCTTCCTCACAGCACTTCTCGTTCCTTTTTTTTTTTTTGCCCCCCGAAGGGGATTTTTTTAATTACATTTTTCTAAAGATTACAAATCTACAATGAAAATAAGGAAAAGGAACTACAATAAGGGATAAAGAAAAGAATACCCACTACTATCTAAAATCCCAAGAGAGGAGATCCTCAAAATCGCTTAAGTACAAAGTCAGTTCTAAACTCGCTAAAAAAATTTGAACTTAGTCAGGTCTGCTAATACAACTTTTGAATCTTAAATTAACTGTTAAAAAGAAAAGCCCCAAAGCATCTCTTTACAATCAACCTCTTTCAAAGGCACAATACAGAGTCCTTCAGCCTTCATTTCTTCTTATTCTGTCGGGCTCTTTAGCTTGGAGAAAAGACGACTGAGGGGTGACATGATCGAGGTTTATAAGATTATGCATGGGAAAGAGCAGGTAAAGAAAGAGGTACTTTTCTCCCTTTCTCACAATACAAGAACTCGTGGGCACTCCATGAAACTGCAGAGCGGTCGGGTTAGAACGGATAAAAGGAAGTACTTCTTCACCCAAAGAGTGATTAACACATGGAATTCACTGCCACAGGAAGTGGTGGCGGCTACAAGCATGGACAGCTTCAAAAGGGAATTAGATAAGCATATGGAGCAGAGGTCCATCAGTGGCTATTAGCCACAAGGTATAGCTAGGGGCTCTGGGGCAAGTGATGCTCTGTCTTCTTGGTCCTTGGGGGGGGATGTCGTTGCTCCCAGGATAGTGTCCCTCACATGTCTCTTTGAGAGTCTCATTACTACTTCCCCAGGCAGATTATTCTTTTTTATATATACGGAATATGACCTATAGGCCACATCCATTTCACTCCTCAAGTACTCCGCCGTCAAATCTGTCACCGGGGCTAATGCTTCACTCAGCATTTGCTTCAGACCAGGTTTGCCTTCTCCATTTGCAGCTGTAAAAGTTGTTCTTTTGTGGAGACTTGCTTCTTTTCCAATTTTTGTACCTTTTTCTTCACCTTTTGGGTAGTGGCGTCAACTTCTTTCACCTTCTCAGCTGTTTGCTCTGTGATTTTAAGAGTCTCATTCACTTGTAATTGCTGGGTGGTGATACATTTGGTCATTGCAGACAACTGTTCCTTGATGTTAGTCATCTGTTCCAGAAAGGTGTGCAGAGATTCTGCCAACATTTTAGCCAGCTCAGTGGTTCCTTCTGGTTTTTGGCTCTCCCCTTTCACTTTTAAAAGTATCTCCTTCTCTTCCCCGCCATCTTTTATCGATTATTTACTTTCGCCGCAGTTTCTAAAGTCTCTGAATGTACGCTCAAACGCTTATACACGCCTCGGTAAGTTTTTCTCAACAGATTTCAACGCTTTCACTTCCGCTATCCCCCGTTTTTTCGCTTAAAAGTCAATGCGCATGGGAGGGGCCCCTCCCCCTGCTCGCTTCACTTCTCGGTCTGTGGGGTGGGGAGCTTTCTTTTTTAAATTGTCAAAGATGCTTTAATCTGACTCTCGTTCATATTGGTCTTTCGACCTCGCTTAGTCTCTAATTTGACCGCTCAATCCCCAGCGCTTGTCCCGGTCAGTGTCACTAGGTTCCATACGGACACTCGCAGGAGGGACCATCGGGGCAAAGAGGCGCCTCAATTCCCCAGCATCGCGCTGGCGAAGAGGCGACCTCTCAAAAGCCCCATGGCTAGAAGCCCTTCGCCGGGCCTCTTGGGGGGCATCGAGCCTGCGTACCCCCTCCTTCCCGCTCGTGCGCAGCTTGCATCCCCGGGAGGTCCGGGAGATGTGACTGCTCAGCGTGCCGCCATCCACCGGAAGTCAGCACTTCTCGTTTTGTTGTTTCATTCGGGCCACAAGGCCTTGCATTTCTTTGTTGTTTTTTGTGATTGGGGCCCACTTCATTAGATGCACAGAAGTGTTACCAGCATTTTTGCAGACCCTTTTATCACTAAAGTTACCAATGGGGGTGGAGTGAAGAGGGCAAATTGTGGCAAAGAGAGACCTTTTGTGAATCCTGTTATTAATCCTTCAGTTGTGCCTTCCTGTAAAAGAGACTGCAGTGGATGTGGTTGTTAAACACAGTGGATGAAGAGAGAAGTCAGAGACCCCAGCCTCTCATGGGGGCACAGATAAATGAAAGTCCAATAAAAAAGCAATCAATCCACTCAGAGTGGGTGAGGATGAACTGGCTGAGTAGTCAAGTCAGCCTTTATTGGCATATATCAGTAGAACAAAGTATACAAGTAGGACACTGTATTACAAATACATTGAATAAAATAATAGGTTACCACTGTACTTTTCCTTGATGTAGCAGCATGGCGGATTGAAGGAATTTCGCCACTGTCTCAGTTACTTCAACAGAGGAATCATTCAGAAGTTTGTAAACTTTATGGGAATCTGAAAAACCCATCATGTTGGCCAATATAGAGTTTAGATATTTAGAGCGTATATTTACATAAAAAGTGACATCGCAACAAAACATGTAAGACCGTCTCGACGCATCCAGGTCCACAAGGCCAAGGTCTGGCCACATCTGCTGTCTTACTGAATCTGCCATGTAGAATGGCAGGTGGCATGGCATTGCATCTGGCTAAAGAGAAAGCTCTGCGTACCGTGTTTCCCCAAAAATAAGACACTGTCTTATATTTATTTTTTCTCAAGAAGACACGCTAGGGCTTATACCACAAATGCATAGAAATCCTGGTAGGGCTTATTTTTGGGGTAGGTAGGTCTTATTTTCGGGGAAACAGGGTAGTTGTGGCGCTTGTAGGAAGGATAAATATGAAGCCAACCTACCTCCAGTGAGGGGTATCACAGAGCTCAGAGGAGAGCAGGTTTTGTTGGCGAGAATAAGTAACTCCTGACGCTCAGTATCCAACATCCGCTGTTTGATCAACTGGAATGCACCTGCTGATGGGAGCATAGTCAGTGAATCCAAAAATATACCCATGGCCTTAATTTTTTCCTCAATGTATGTAAGAACTGGCTGAGTAAGACAAATACACATTTGGATCTATTCAGTGAAAGTACAGGGTGAGAAATGTAACATAGAATTCCATTCTAATTGGAAAAACCCTACGGGAACCATGCATTTGGTTTAGCAAAATCAGCGGACACCTGTGGCCAGGTGGGAGTCCCTGTGGTGTGGTGAGAGGGAGGGGGTGTGGTGGGGGTGGGGTCCCCGAGAGGTTGCTTTGGGCAGTTGCTGCTGAGCCAGCAGGATGACTGCTGTGTTGTAAATGCTGGCGGGTGGCAGAGCGGGGTCTGCTCTTCGGCACTCAGAATAGTCCTGGAAGAGGCCTGTGTGTCAGTTTGCCTCCTGAATTTCCTTGGCTAGTGCAGTGGGTTATACAGCAAAGATCTGAGCAACTACTGAGAAGAGGAAGCTTTTTTAGAAAACAACAACTGGGATCTTGAAATCTGTGGATCTAAGTGTGTAGATATGAATCCTGCCAATCACTTGCTTCATCCAAGATACTTGGTAGCATTCTGAAACAAATAGCTTATAATCTGCATCATGGTATTGCCGTAATGAACCATTGGTCTCCACAGAGAGCATCTCCTTTTCCCCATCAGGTTCATGTTTCCTGGACTCTGGTTGGCCCCTTCACCATGCCAGAAGCTTTTCTGGATATTGGGTACAGATGGTGGTTCTGGGGTTAATTAATACTGCCCTAATCGTCCCCCCTCTGCTCTTTTCTAGATTCTTGCCTGGAAGGGGGCTTGTGATCTATCCAGAAATCGGGGACAAGCTGGACATCATCTGTCCCAAGGCGGAGCCTTCTAGACCGTATGAGTACTACAAGCTGTACCTGGTGAAGCGGAGCCAGGCAGATTCCTGCAGCACCGTCATGGACCCGAATGTGCTGGTGACCTGCAACAAGCCTGAGCAGGAGATCCGTTTTACCATCAAGTTCCAGGAGTTCAGCCCCAACTACATGGGCCTGGAGTTCAAAAGGCATCAGGATTACTTCATCACGTGTGAGTGCCTTTCCTCTTCCTCACCCCCTTGGCTTTTGGGCTTCTCTTCAGAAACCTGCTGTGGGTCTGTCAACGGTCTCCACTTTTATCTGGGTCATAGTTGCATTCCCATCCCAGGGCGTGGCTTTTCCCTTCTCCGACAGGCAACCCAGCCTGCCGTGCTTCTGCATGTGGACCATGTTGGCTTGTTCTTGGTTGGGGAGGCATTTCTTCCATGGCCGAGATTGAGCGTCTGCTCTGACAGCCCTCCAAATCAAAATGCAGCTCCCGCCATACCCCACTCCTGTGTTTTGTGGGAGCACCTCTGCTGGAGCTCTGGCAGATTTGTGCATTGCTTTGTGTCCGGAGGAGCTGGTCCTGCCAGTTCAGACTCTGTGACAAAGAAGCAGGCGTGTGATTGGCGTGTGCCTCTGCATCAGGGGGCAGGAGGAGTTCTGCAGGGCAGTTTTGAGAGTATCTGGCCAGGGCCAGGGGGGGAGCCAGATTTCCTGGGTCCCCACCCAGTAATGGAACTCACTTGGACCAGTCTCTCTCCCCCTCACAGCGTTGTTGTGAGAATAACATTGGGGGGGGGGGGAGAGCCCTGTGTGCCTCTCCTGAGCTTTTCAGAGGAAGAGTGGGAGTTAAATTTGTTTTCTTTGCTTGTCTCCCTTCAGGAGACTTGAGTGTTTTCTTTTGTCTTTGTTGTGGCTTTTTGGAGGCTTCTTGACTTCAAATAGTGTGTGTGTCTGCAGGGCCCAGAAGATAAAGGACATTAAGACATAGTCTATTGTGCACCCCCCCCCCCACACAGACGCACACACACACACAGTCACACACACACACACACACACCCTCCACTGTAGAGGCGCCAGAGCTGGAAGGAAGGCCGGCTCCCCATAGTTCCTAATTGCACCCTTGGACTGTTTTATGAGTCTGATGAGACAGTAAGCATGAATAAATAAAAAACCACATTGCTGGTAGGAATTCCTGTGTTGTTTTAGGCGGCTGCTACACAGTGAGGAGTCTCTGTGTCCCTCCTGTGCATTTCCCCAAGACTCTGCCCTTTCTCTCCGTGCCCTGCAGTCCTCATTGGCTCTTGTGGGTGTGGCCATCACAGTGGCTGTGGCAACTTGCTGCCCTCTGTTATTCTTTACTTCACAGCTGTGCTGTATATTCTGGGAGTTCTATTAAGTTTTGAAATACATAAACGGCAATAGAACATTATACAATCATGGCTATTATTATTATTTTTTAAGTCATTTGGTTGTGCTACAAGGGGGAAATGGTTGAAAAAGAGCCCCTGCGAGGGGGAGATGATGGCAATAGAAACAGTGCTGATGCGGAGAAGACCTCTGCAGGGCAGGGAAGCGTGTGCCCCTGCCCCTCCTCCTCGCGGGCACAGCGCCCGCCCAGCTGGACTGCAGAGTCTCTCTGGCAGGAGGAGGAACTATTCCGAGGGGGCTGGGACAAGCGCATGTTTAGGATGGGGAGATGTAGAGACAGGGTGGTTAGGGCAGACATCCCACGGAAGGTCCCAAAAACAAGGTGCTTCAGTTAGGAAGGCAAGCTGGAGAAAGTCCCCTGCCGGAAGTGGCCTCGGTCCAAGTGGCAGAGAGGGGTTCTTCACTGGGAGAGAGACACACCTGGGTCACTTCCCAAAGAGGTGTGCAGCAGGTGAGCCTTCCCTGTTGGGCTTTCTGAAATCTGTGTGAAAAAGCTCAGTCAAAATTAGATCAGGCATTTCTTTTACATCAGAGGAAGGCTTTATCGCTTTAACCTTGTCAGGAGGCAGAGGGGGTGCATCGAGCGTCGGTGGCACTACCTGCGGCTTGTCAGGGGATGGGGACCGTTCACCACCAGAAGGAACTGTCGGTGGGCTGTCACTTGCACCGCCCACCTTTTTAGTGTGACTTCTAGTTTACACTGCTCCCCCCAACTGTGCAGGGGGAAACACTGTGTCGGTGACTTCTTCTCCTTGGCTATCATGTTGAGGAAGTCTGGAGAGGGCATCAGCCAAGAAATTATTTCTCCCAGGTAAGTTCTTAATGGTAAACTGGAACCTGGAAAAGAACTCAGCCCATCTCACTTGCTTAGCACTCAATCTGCGAGGTGTGCACAACACTTCTAGTTTTTTATGATCTGTCCAGCCCTCGAACGGTTGCCGAGCCCCTTCTAACCAATGCCTCCAGGTACTGAGCGCCAGCTTCATTGCTGATGCCTCCTTTTCCCACATGGACCAATTGCGCTCAGCACCTGAGAACTTTCGTGACACGTATGCCAGGGGGTGCAATCTACCATCTGGCCCCTTTTGCAAAATAGCCCCACCCCCCAAGGCAACATCAGATGTGTCAGCTTGCACAATATATTTTTCATTCTCATTGGGATGAAACAATATTGGTTCAGATGTGAATAAAGCTTTGAGCCGGTCAAACGCCTTTTGACACTCTGGAGTCCAGCTCAACTTACACACACACCCCTTTGCATCCGATCCTTTCCCCTTGGTTTTCAGCAAGTCGGTTGGGGCAATGACACCTGAGCAAAGTGGGGGATAAAATTTCTGTAAAAATTGCTGAACCCTAAAAAACTTTGGAGCTGCCTCCTTGTTTTGGGGGGCTCCCAGTTTAACACATCTTGCGCCTTAGCTGGGTCCATCCTCAGCCCCTGCTGAGTGACCCTATAGCCCAGGAAATCAATTTATGTTTTGTGGAACTCACACTTCGACAGTTTGGCATACAATTGGTTAGCATACAGAGCCTTCAACACTTGTCTTATCAATTTTACATGTGATTCCAGGTCATTAGAATAAATCAACACATCATCTAAATAACAGACCACGCCTTTGAATAAGTGCTTGTGCAACACCTAATTAATCAAGTTCACGAACACCCCAGGAGCCCCAGCCAAGCCGAAAGGCATGACCAAGTACTCGTACTGTCCCAGCGGGGTGTTAAAACTAGTCTTGTGCTCATCTCCCTCTCGGATGCGCACGCGAAAATAAGCGCTTCTTAAGTCCAGTTTCGTAAAAATCTTTCCCTTAGCCACTTCCCCCAACAAGTCTTTGATTAGGGGTAATGGGCAGGCATTAGACCTAGAAACAGCATTCAAACCTCTCTAGTCTGTGCATAGTCTCAGCCCCCCATCCTTCTTTTTGCGGAAGAGGATGGGAGTGGCAGAAGGGGACGTTGCATGACGGATAAATCCCCTCTCCAGGTTTTTGTCAATAAAACGTCTTAGTTCCTCCCGCTCTGCGGGATTCATAGCATAAAGTTTTCCTTTTGGTAAAGTCTGTCCCTCCAAGATCTCAATAGCACAATCAGTTTTCTTATGGAGAGGGAGTTCGTCTAGCTCCCCTCTCCTCAAACAATTTCCCCAAATCCCGTTATTCCTTGGGGGATAGACAAAAGTTCCTCCTGTGCCAAACACACTCTGGCCGGGACCGCAGGAGGCTCCGTGTCCCATGCCGGGTCCCATTGATGAGCCTTACAGCGGGGATCTAGGGAAATCATAGCCCCACGGCTCCACTGCACATGGGGATCCTGGGTGGCCAGCCAAGGACTCCCCAGCTCCATTGGGAACTGCGCCGTAGGGTGAATGACAAAGGCGCGTTTCTCCCAGTGCCCCACCCCCCACACCGGCAGCTCCACCGTTTGGTGCTGACATGAGGCCATGGAGGTCCCATCCATTTGGGTAAACTCTACAGGATCCTCTAGATTGGCAGCCCTGGCCCCCAACCCCACCCCTAGGGACGGGCTAATAAGATCTCGGGAACACCTTGAATCCAGGAGAGCTCGAACTCTCACTGGCGTGCCACCCTCGGGATTCAGGATGGTCACAGTAAGGAAAAACAAAGAGGTGCCATCTCTCACCGCTTCTTGCGCTGGAGCCTCTCAGACCTGCTGGGGAGCGTCCTTCACAGCAGGTCCCGGTCGTTTCCCGCCATCTGTAAATTAAAAAATCTGTGTTGGTAATGGCTACATTCTCTGACCTGTATAGATTGAGCAAATTTACATAAAAGGTTCATTTTCTGTTAATCTTGGGAAGGAGCAAGGATCTGTGCCATGCAGTGAGTACAGCAGTCTCTTCCCCGCCCCTGGCCAAGTCTCTGCCTTCTGAGGCTTTATTGGAGTTGGAAGTCTGCATGTCTTCCTGTTCTTGCTCATTAGGTGGCATTTGTCTTGGCTGGCTCATGCAGGGCCGGCCTGTCATTGACAAATTTTATACTGTCGCCTAGGGCACCGGCTTGATGAGGGTGCCACTCTGGCCAGCCTGCCGCCCCGCCTTCCCCATTAGGCCCTCGGCCGCGTGTCCCACTCCCTTTCCCTCAGCTGACCAGCTTCGTCCCCTTCTTGCCCCGCACAGGAAGGGAAGCACCCCAGGGTGCGCCTCGCTTGCTGGCCGGAGCACCTCTCCCCCTCCCCCGCAATTCAGCAGCACCGTTCAGGGAGGCGAAGAAACACCCCCCCGCCACCCTAACCCCAGGCCCCTGGGGAGCCTCTGGCCGGCTTCGGATCCTCTCCGAGGAATGGGAAAGGGAGGGGGAGGTTTCCCGTGAGGTCTGAAGCGGCTTTTCCTCGCAGAAGAGCCGCAGAGGCTTCCCGACGGGGCGGGGGGCTGCACCATGCAGCTTTCCTGAAGCCTCAAGAGAGCCGTCCTCGTTGCGGTCTCCTCTGCCCTGCGCCCACCCCAAAGGGCTGACGACATCGCCCTGCAAGACCCCAACGGGGCTGCAGTTGGCGCCGGGGGGGGGGGGACTGGAAATTGGCTGGCTGCTGCTTGCGCATCCGAGCACTGTCCAGGAGACCCGGAGCACCCCAAGAGGAAGGCCTGTGTGTGTGGGGAGAAATTACCCTTGGGGCGCAGGAGCCAGCCGGGATCTACGCGGGGCCGCCTTGGCGGCTGCTGCGGACACACACCAGAAGGTAGCCTTGCCTACTGTACAAAAAAACCCTGGGCACATGGATGTGAAGATAAATGCCTAAGGCCTGGGGAACTCTTTTCACTACCAGAAAGCTGTTGAC